CTCACTTATATATGGAATATAATGAACATAGCAGTCTGAGAAATACAGTAGACCCAGAAACATGGAAGTAGGGCACAGACTGACATCCCTCAGAAGAGGGGGTGGGGGAGTGGGAAGAGCTAAACCACAGAACTTATATTCATGTATGCATAACCAATGGACATGGACAACAAAGCCGGGGGTGGGGCAGGGAAGATGGGGAGGAGGGTGTCAATGGGGTAAAAAAGGAGATACATCTGTAACAAAAAAATATTAAAAATTAAAAAATTAATAAAAATAAAAATTCCAGAGGACTTCAAGGGAGAGACCAATTGCAATATAATCATACTGGGTGACTTTAACACATCACTGACACCACTGGATATATCTGCTAAACAAAATGTTAACAAGGACATAGAGTCCTTACAATACAAACCAGATCAGTTGGAGTTCATTGATATTTACAGAACATTTTACCCCAAAGCTGCAGAATATACATTCTTCTCAAGTGCACATCGGTCATTCTCAAAGACAGACCACATGTTAGGACACAAAGCAAGTCTCTACAAATTCAAAAAAATTGAAATCATATCAAGCATATTCTCAGATCACAGTAGCATGAAACTAAAACTTAATTACAATAAAACACAAAAATACATTGAAACACTTGAGGGCTAAACAGCATGTTATTAAATGATAAATGGGTTACTAATGACATCAAGGAAGAAATTAAAAATGTTCTGGAAACCAATGAAAACGAACACACAACAACACAAAATCTATGGGACACAGCGAAAGCATTCTTGAGAGGAAAGTTCATAGCACTATAGGCCAACCTCAGAAAACAAGAAAATTTCCTAATTGACTTTCTAACTCTACCACTTAAAGTAAACACAAAGAAAAACCCAGAGCTAGTAGGGGGAAAAAAATAGAAAAGGTCAGAACAGAAATAAATGAACAACAACAACAAAAACAAACAATCCAAAATATCAATGAAACAAAAAGCTTGTTTGTAAAAAAATAAACAAGATTGATGGACCTTTAGCCAGAATCATCAAGAAACAAAAAAGAGAGAAACCAAATAAACAAAATCAGAAATGAAAGAGGAGAAGTAACAACTGACACCACAGAAATACAAAAAGTCATTGAAACATACTATGAACACCAACAAATTGAACAATCTGGAAGAAATGGACAATTTTTTAAAAACACAGAGCCTCCCAAAACTAAACTAGAAAGAGGTAGAAAACTTGAACAGATCAATAAAAAAAAAAAAAAAGAAATTGAAGATGTAATTAAGAAACTCCCAGCAAACAAAAGCCCAGGCCCAAATGGCTTCAAGGGGGAGTTTTACCAAACATTCAAAGAAAATCTAATACCCATTCTCAAACTATTCTAAAAAAACCCAAGAAGATGGAATAGTTTTAAACTCATTTTATGAGGCCAGCATAATCCTAATTCCAAAACTGGATAAAGACATTACAAAGAAAGAAAACTACAGGCCAATATCCCTGATGAACACAAAAGCAAAAATCCTTAACAAAATATTAGCAAATCAGATCTAGCAATATATCAAAGAAAATTATTTATCATAATCTAGTGGGATTTATCTCAGGGATGCAAGACTGATACAATATTTGCAAATCAATAAATGTGATACACCACATAAACAAAATAAAATATAAAAAACATATGATCATATAAATAGATGCTGAAAAAGCATTTGACAAAATCCAGCAACCATTTCTGATAAAAATGCTTAGCAATGTAGGAATAGAAGGATTATATCTCAACATAGTAAAAGCCATTTCTGAAAAACTACAGCCAACATCATACTCAATAAGCAAAAACTAAAAGCATTCCCTTTAGGAATGAAAATGAAACAGGGATGCCCACTTTCACCACTCTTATTCAACATAGTACTGGAAATCTTAGCCACAACAATCAGACGTGAAGAAAAAATAAAACGGATTTAAATTGAAAAAAAGAAAGTGAAACTGTCATTATTTGCAGGTGACATGATATTATACATAAAAAATCCTAAAGACTCTATGAAAAATTTACCAGAGTTAGTAAATATATTTGGCAAGGTAGAAAGATACAAAATTAGCATCAAGAAGTCAATGCATTTTTATACACCAATGATGAATTCACAGAAAGAGAAGCTGAAAAAGAAATCACATTTACCATTGCAGCAAAAAACTAAAATACCTAGGAATGAACTTAACTGAAAAAGTAAAGGACTTCTTCACAGAAAACGACAGGACACTAAAAAAAGAAATGGAGGAAAATATAAAAAAGTGGAAGCAAATACTTTGTTCATGAATTGGAAGAATTAACATCATTAAAATGTCCATACTACCCAAAGCAATCTATAGATTCAATGCAATCCCCATCAAAATACCAAGGACATATTTCACAGAAATAGAACAAACACTCCAAAAGTTTATATGAAACCAAAAGACCCCGAATAACCACAGGAATCTTGAAAAAGAAAAGAACAAAGTAGGAGGAATCACATTACCAGATATCAGGTTATACTACAAAGCCACTGTAATAAGACCAGCCTGGTACTGCCACAAGAACAAACCGATAAATCAATGGAATAGAACAGACAACTCAGAAATTGTCCCAAGGAAATATTCTCAATTAATATTTGACAAAGGTGGCAAGAGCATACAGTGTAGTCAAGACAGTGTCTTCAATAAATGATTTTGGAAAAACTGGACGGCTACTTGCAAAAAAAAAAGAAGCTAGACCACCAACTTACACTATACACAAGAATAAACTTAAAATGAATAAAAGACTTAAATATAACTCATGAATCCATAAAAATTCTAGAAGAAAATGTAGGCAACAAAATTTTAGATATCATACACAGCAGAATTTTCACTGATACAACACCTAAGGCAACAGAAACAAAGGGAAAAATTAACACATGGGACAACATCAAACTACAAAGCTTTTGCACAGCAAAAAAAAAAACAATCATCAAACTAGAAAGACAACCCAGTATGTGGGAGACCATAATTGCCAATGATGCATCAGATAAGGGATTAATTTCCAAAATTTATAAGTACTCATACAGTTCAAGAAAAAGAAGACAAAGAAGAAAAAGAAGAAAAAGCTCATTAAAAAATGTGCAGGGGACATAAATAGACACCTCTTCAAACAAGACATACAAATGGCCAAGAGACATATGAAAAAATGCTCAACATCACTAATCATCAGAGAGATGCAAATTAAAACAACAATGAGGTATCACTTCACACCTTTCAGAATGGCCTCCATCAACAAATCTTCAAACAAGTGTTGGCGATGGGGTGGAGAAAAGGGGACTCTAGTACACTGCTGCTGGAAATGCAGACTGGTACAGCCACTATGGAAAACACTATGGTGTTATCCCTAAAAGTTAAAAATTGAGATGCCATTTGACCCAATGATCCCACTTCTAGGAATATACCCTAAGAAGTTTGAAACACCAGTCAGAAAGAATATATGTACTCCTATGTTTACAGCAGTACTATTTACAATACCTAAGATCTAGAAACAACCCAAGTGTTAATCAATAGATGAGTGGATAAAAAAGCAGTAGTACATGTACACAATGGAATACTATGCAGCTATAAGAAAAAAAGATCTCTTATTTTTTGAGATGGCATGGAGGAGCCTGGAGAGTATTATGCTAAGCAAAACAAGCCAAGCAGAGAAAGACAAATATACAAATATCACATGATCTCACTTATTTGTGTAATATAATGAACTAAACAAAGTGATGAACAAAACTGTCCCAGTGACATAGAGGTAGGGCACAGATTGACAAACCCCAGAAGAGAGGGGGTTGGGAGACAAGAGACGAACCACAGCACTTATATGCATGTATGCATAATCAATGGACATAGACAACAAAGCTGGGGGAGGGGTAACGAGGAGGAGGGTGTCAATTGGGAAAAAAGAAGAAATATCTGTAAAAAAATTAATAAAATAATTAAAAAAATAAAACCTATTTGTGGAAACATACAAATAGATTTAAAGAACATAGAACTGAAATGACTGATAAGATTATGAAAACAGGAATGCTTAAACAAGTTTTACGTTAAAAAAAAATAATTCTATCAACTTTACATGAATTTTTTATCTGTCTCGAAATACTTCCAATACTTAGTATTGCAAAAGTAAAAACTGTTGATAAATTAAAGTATTAATTTATAGGTGAATTTGTATATTTTGAATAAGTTTGATGCGAAGTGATTGCATCTTTTATCCCTATTAATGGAAATAGCATGTATCTTACTGAGAAACCAGGACTTGCCAGCTGTCAGGTTTTTTTATTGTTTGTTTTGTTTTGTTTTTTACAGAAGGAAAGGTTTTGAAAAGTAATGACCTTTACATTTGCTTAAGTCTATGGTATTGTTTAATACTGCCAGAAATGATTTTGTCCCACCTAGAACCTCGCAGGATATTTGAAAAAAAAAAAATAAAATAATGTATTATTAGAAACTTGGAAAAATTGGAAGCTAAAGATTCAAAAGCATAATACATTTTTTTGAAGATCTTTCAACTTAAGCTAACATAACACTTTATACTGAAAGAAAAAGAAAAAAATATAAAGCTTATGTAGATAGACAAGTAGATTAACCTATAATGTCAAGTAAGTTATAACTTAAATCTTGAGAGCAATTGTTCTCATCTTACAAATCTTTGAAAAACCATAAATATAGTTCTAGAAGCAGTTCAAAGCCCACCGATCTTTATTATCCCCAAATCCTAAGACGGAAAAAAAAGGGGGAGATGAGGGATATTTTTGTTAACACAAACTACTTCTTTAGTTATGAAGCTTTCTTACCAAGGACAAATTCAAATCTTAATTTTCATCACAAATATCAATAAGAAAAACCTTAAGCCATTTAGACAGGGAAATTCAATGTATTCTTATGTTAGAAATACAGTTTAAATCCAATGTTCTTTTACCTTATCATATCCATCATATGGTAGTAATTTTTAAATAAAGGCTAAAAGTTGCTTTCTTCGGAAACATATACACTTAAATTGGAACAAATACAGAAAAGATTAACATGGCCCCTGCACAAGGATGATACACAAATTCATGAAGCACTCCATATTTTTTGGCAAAGCCCTCAAGTAAAGAACCCACTAGCCACATTCTCCCAACCCCTCTTACCCCACCCTTGTTGTGACCTTTGAAAGGATATGTGCATTGTGAACTGCCTGGGCCCATGCTACAGTCTTTTAACTAAAGGCTCTGGAGGAAGACCAGGCAACTTCTAGAGGAGGCAGAGTAGCTGACAGGTAAAGGAAGACCTCAGGAAGACTCAGACATGTTGTGCATCTGCCCCCATCTCTATGTTGAAGGAAGCCAAATCTTGTACACAGATTGGCCCCTTTGATGCACACCTATGCCCAGAAGATGCATCCACAAACAATGAATAAGCATGGTAGATCCAGATAGGTAGCCTAAGGCTGGTCAAATTCAACATCTGACATTGACCTATATCTGAACACTGCCCAAGTAAACAACAACAACAAAACACACACACACACACAACCAATTGTGGGTTTCAGGTAACACCAGAGTTAGACCCAACTAGCCACATAAGTGGGATACCCAAACAGAAATTTAGGCAGCCAGAAGAATCTTCTGAGAACAACTCCATCTTGGAGGACAGCCCATACACAGCTACTCATGCATAATGATTGAAGTTTATTTTATCAGCCAAAGAGTTAACTCTATCCAAGAAATGGCCTACAGTATTCAGAACACATTTACAAAAGGAAGGTGCACTAAATCCACAATAAATATTTCTGGAGCATCAAGCTCAGAGGACATGAACGATTGTACACTGAGCCCAACAAGACATCTACAGCATAAAGCCATCATAACAAGATTGGGAGTCATAGAAAAACTATCTAATACACGGAGACAAAATGATGAGACAAAGAAATATATTCCAAATAAAAAAAGAAGAAAAATCCACAGAAAAAAATAATGAAATGAAAGCAACCAAGATACCAGATGCAGAGTTTGTCAATGACTATAAGGAAGTTCAAAGACCTTAAGGGAAGAAGAATGATCTCAGTAAAAACTTAAAAAAGACTTCCGGTCAAGATGGTGGCGTAGGTAAACGCGGTATCGCGTCCTCCCACAACCACATCAAAGTTACAACTAAACAACAGAACAACCATCATTCAAAACCGCCTGAAATCAAGCTGAATGGAAGTCGTACAACTACGGAACTAAGGGAAAAAAAAAAAGCAGCTACATCCAGACCGGTAGGAGGGGCGGCGCGAGGGGGGGCGGCGGCGCGGCGGCGGCGGAGCGCGCAGCGGCGAGACAGGCTGGTCCCACACCCAAGCGTGGTGGATAAAAATCAGGAGGATCCCACGGCTGGGAAGGTCCTTCCTGAGGACTGAGGGGTCCCCGTCCCACACCAGGTGCCCCGCTCAGGGTTCCAGTGCCAGGAAGAGAAGTCCCCATAACTTCTGGCTGGAAAAACCAGCGGGAACTGAGGCTCAGGGAAGCTGAAGCGGCTGGAGCCCCAGGCAGCTCCCTAAAGGGCCGGCGCACGGACTTATCGGACTCTCTCCCTCTAAGCTCGGAGGGGAGGCAGCTCGAGGGGCACCAGAGACACACAGGGAAGAACTGAGCTGTTTGGCACTGGAGCGAGAGCTGGAGAGGGGGCTTCCTCGGGGACAAACGTGCTGTCAGAGGCCTTTGTTCCTTTGGTGAGCCCTTCCCGGGGACGGCAGCCAGAAGCCATATCTGGGACTCCAGCAACCTGGCTCACACTCGTAGCCCCGCCCTGGTGACTCCCTGAGGCCCCGCCCCGCCCCACACAACTTCAACAAGCTGTTGCCACTTGCTTAACCATAGGATTGGCCGGTCTTGGATTCTGCTTCAGGTTTTTCCTAAATTCTTTCAAACGAGCAGCACCGGGTCTCAGCTAGCCCCATACCTCTCATTAAGTAATACACAGAAACAAACACAGGGAGGCAGCCAAAATGAGGATACAAAGAAACAGGTCCCAAATGAAAGAACAGAACAAAACCCCAATAAAAGAACTAAGCGAAAGGGAGATAAGCAACCTAACAGATACTGAGTTCAAAATACTGCTTATAAGGATGCTCAATGAACTTAGTGAGAACCTCAGTGAACTTAGGGAGGGCATCAAGAGCATAAAAAAGGACCAGTTAGAAATCATGGATACACAGTTAGAATTAAAGGAGGCATTAACTGAAATAAAGAATAATTTACACAGCTTCAATAATAGAGTATGTAGATCCAAGGAGCAAACCATCGATTTGGAATATAAGGAAGCAAAAAATCCCCAATCAGAAGAGCAAAAAGAAAAAAGAATCCAAAAAAATGAGGATAGAGTAAGGAGCCTCTGGGATAACTTCAAGCGTGCCAACATTCGCATCTTGGGGGTTCCCGAAGGAGAAGAGAGAGAACAAGAAATTCAAAACCTGTTTGAAACAATAATGGCAGAAAACTTTCCTAACTTGGTGAAGGAAACAGACATACAAGTCCAGGAAGCACAGAGAGTCCCAAACAAGATGAACCCCAAGAGGCCCACACCAAGACACATCATCATCAAAGTGCAAAAGGTTCAAGACAAAGAGAGAATATTAAAAGCAGCAAGAGAAAGGCAGCTAGTTACCTACAAGGGAGTACCCATTAGGCTGTCAGCTGATTTCTCAAAAGAAACTTTGCAGGCCAGAAGGGAGTGGCAAGAAATATTCAGAGTGATGAAAACCAAGAACCTACAACCAAAATTACTCTATCCTGCAAAGCTGTCATTTAGAATCGATGGACATACAAAAACTTTCCCAGACAAGAAAAAGTTAAAGGAGTTTATCACCACCAAACCGTTATTATATGAAATGATGAAGGGTCTTTTTGAAGATAAAGATAAAATGTATGAACAAACAAAATGGCAATGAATACATATCTATCAACAATGGAATCTACAAACAAAATGAACAGGAAGAACAGAAACATTCTCATAGATACAGAGAACATTTTATTGGTTGCCAGTTGGGAAGGGGGTTGGGGGAATGGGTGAAAAAGGTGAAGGGATTAAGAAGCACAAACTCATTGCTAGACTGACAAACCTCAAAGGGAAAGGGGTTGGGGGGGTGGGAAGAAATAAACCAAAGAACTTATATGCATAACCAATGGACACAGACAATAGTGTGGGAAAAGGTGGGAGGGGGGCGGGAGTGGGGAGGAGGGGGTCAATGGGGGAAAAATGTGGAACATCTGTAATACATTTTACATCCAACAATAAAGATTTGGAAAAAAAAACAAAAAAAAAACCAAAAAAAAAAACTTAAAAAACAAAAAAGATAGTAAGCATTTAGAAAGACATAGAAACCATAATATAAACAAGTCAGAAATTAATAATACAATATCTAAAATGAGGAATACAGTAGAAAAAATTACAGCAGGTTAAATGAATCAAAGGATCAAATTAACAATTTAGAGGACAAGATAAAAAAAACAAACAAACACCCAAACAAAACTTCAAAAAACAAAATTTTAAAAGTAAAAAAGTTTAAGGGACTTCTGGGACAACATCAAGAATAATAACATCTACATCATGAAGGTACCCAAAGAGAACGAGAGTAAATAAAGAATAGAAAACTTCTTTGAAAACAAAATGGCTGAAAACATTTCTAACCTGTTGAAAATAAGACACACAAGTTCAGAAAGCACAGAGAGTTTCAGTCAAGGTGAGCCCAAAGAGATCCACACCAAAATATGTTATAATTAAAATGACAAAAGTTGGGTTGTTTCCAGATCTTAGCTATTGTAAATAGTGCTGCTATGTACATGGGGGTACATATATTCTTTCTAATTGGTGTTTCAGGCTTCTTAGGCTATATGTGTAGAAGTAAGATCACTGAGTCAAATGGCAGTTCAATTTTTAACTTTTTGAGGTAACACCATAGTGTTTTCTACAGTGGCTTCACCAATCTGCATTCCCACCAGCAGTGTACTAGAATCCTCTTTTCTCCACACCCTCGCCAACACTTGTTTGATGATTTGTTGATGGCGGCCATTCTGACAGGTGTGAGGTGATACCTCATAGTTGTTTTAATTTGCATCTCTCTGATTATTAGTGATGTTGAGCATTTCTTCATATGTCTCTTGGCCATTTGTATGTCCTCTTTGGAGAGGTGTCTATTTAGGTTCTCTTCCCTTTTTCAAATTGACTTCTTTTTCTTCCTTTTGTTGAGTTGTGTGAGGACTCTATATATTTTGAAAATTAATCCCTTATATGATGCATCATTGGCAATTTTGGTCTTCCATGTAGTGAGATTAAAAATCTGTGGTACATGTACAAAATGGAATGCTATGCAACTGTAAGAAAAAAAGATCTCTTGTCCTTTGAGATGACATGGAAGGACCTGGAGAGTATTATGCTAACTGAAACAAGCCAAGCAGAGAAAGACAGATATCATATGATCTCACTTATTCTTGGAATATAATGAACTAAACAAACTGCTCAACAAAATTAACCCAGAGACTTAGAGGTGGGGTACAGACTGACAAGCCTCAGAGGAGGAGGGTTTTGGGGGAGAGATAAACCACAGAACTTACATGCATGTATGCAAGACCAATGAACATAGACAACAAAGCTGGGGATGTGGCGGGGGGAAGGGGAGGTGGGTGTCAATGGGCAAAAAATGAGAAACAACTGTAACAAACACAAATTAATAAATAAAAAATAAATTAAAAAAAAAAGAAAGAAGGAGATAGAAACCATAAAAAAAAAGTTAAAGACAAAGAGGGAATTTTAAAAGCAATAAGAGAAATGCAGTTATTTACCTAAAAGGAATCTCCTGTGAGAATGTCAGCTTATTTATCAACAGAATGTTTTAGTCCAGAAGAAATTGGCACAAAACATAAAAATGATGACAAGCAAGGACATATAACTAAGATTAATCTATCCAGTATGGCTATAATTTAAAACCGAAGGTAAAATAAAAAGATTCCTAGAAAAATAATAAAGAAGTTCATTATCACCAAACCAATGTTACAAGTAATGTTAAAAGGCCTGCTGTAAGTAGAAGAAAAAATATATATAAAGAGAAACATAAGT